AGCTCTACAAGTACAGAATGAATAGGCGAGCTTTTACCAAAGTTGAATGCTTCAGGATTTATTTTCCAAAGCCAAGAGCACATCTCAGTGCAACAAACAAATCTATACCCATCTTGCCAGTCATAAATGAAACAGACCAAGGCAATATTGCAGAAAATTATTAGTATTATAAAAACCAGCTACAGCCCATTTGTCTCTCCAGAAAAGAGCAAGCCTGCTTTGGTAGTATGACATTTTATGAAATGTGCTAGTATTCATGAGTACTATTACCATTTTGATTTCCCTTGTACACTACGATTTAATCTTGAATACACATCTTGAATATTAGTGCTAAGCTGCTTTACTGCCTGAGACGTCTTCGTGCTGATATCCCGTAACGAATTTTTGTGCAATTAAGGCATATTTCAACGTGAAATGGATTCCCGCTGGAAGGCAGGAGACCGGTGCTTCCCCCATGAGCAATGTTCAGGCTCTGTTCTACTGAGATGCTGTTCCCTCCACCATTTGCGCATCTTTCGAACACCTTGACGCGCTGCCTCTGCAGCTGCGATCCCAGTACCTGCCATCAGCCTAGACTCTAGTTAAGCTTCTTCCATACTGGTGGCACTGCCAGGACATTATTTTTGTGAGAGAAAAAATCTCCATCAGTTAGATGGGACTTCTTCTACCTCCCAACAAACCTTAGTGCCTCACTGGGCTGTCCAAAGGAGCCCTTTCCTCCGTGATGTCTCAGCCCCTTCTGAGAGCCACAGAGCTCAGCCAGCCAGGGTATACTCTAACCATCAAGCACCTTGAGTAGGGAAATGGGGTCCATCTGCTTCTGCGTTATGGGTTGTCTTTAAAATCTTCTTTTTTCTTGATCATTCATTTTGAGTTCTGACAAGCAACTGATATTTTTCATCAGTTTTCACTTGGGTACATATGAGAGGCCAAGTGGCACAGTGAGTTTGGAAGAAATTACTGGCTCAGGTCACTAATTCAATTTAATGTTTAGGTCCAAGCTTTGCACTGAAGGAAACAACTGCCTGTGATACCTTTCTCAGTATTTATTTTGCATTCCTGTGTGGTTTTGGCTTTTTTTTTTTTTTTTTTTTTTTTGCCACGATAAACCAAATCAAGGTCCTTCGTTTGAAAAATATTTGATAAAGATTCTCCAATTTCTCCCTTTACCTTGCAACTGCACATGGTTTGTTCTTTACAGACACACATCAAACACATTATTATTGAACAGCATTAAAGCTTCAATTAGTAAGAACATAGGCAAGCAGATGATGATGTACTTTTTTTCCTTTTTTTTAAAAACATTTTTCACCTTTTGTTCAGTGATGTTAAGGAAAACTTACTACTTACCCAACATTTTCTGCATCTTCATCACACTCAGCCCTATATTTGCAAACTCCACATTTTGAGTGCTTTCTCTGAACTTCTGTCCCAGATCCTTCATACTCTGAAAAAAATAAGGTATTGTTAACAGAAAGCATGACTTTCATATTAAGCTCCGATTTGCTTACCTAAATCCATTTGCCTTCAGGTATATTGTCAACATGAAGTTATCATATACTGAAGTTATTAACCTTGATAGTGATCCCATTTTCAAACTCAGGCAACCGGAGGTCGGTAGAACTGTACCAGCGACAAGAAAGCATCCCTGAAAACCCTAATGCTTCATTGACTGACTCTTCCTTTATTCTTATTTCAGTGATTCGTATTTATTCTTGCCTGATCAGACACACAACTGGCATTGACATGTGTCCCAGTCACATTTACTCTTAATTGGCACTGATAATGTATAAACCTTGTGTCTTTTAATGTCCTTGAACATTAGGTAGTGGGGATTTGAATACTATTTTCTCTGACAGTCTTAATTACAGATATTATTATGCAAGATTACTGCTTGCATTTTTTTCCCTTTTTTGATTCCCGACAATGGATTAGACTGGGCTTATATCTTGTATGTACTGTGGTATATTTTCCAGATGACTCTGTTTACTTGTACAGAACAAAAAGTAAAAGGTCATTTTAAGAAGAAACTGATAGAAATGCTATGTACCCTAAAAAGTAAGATTAATCTCTCAAATATCCTGATCATAAAAACATTTGCACCAATCTTACTGTTGACACGGACATTAAAACTCTTCACCAAGTAAAATAAAAATAAGCTGTACTCTTACTGTTTCACTACCATTAGTCACTCCTCTTTTTGATTTAAACAAAGCGATAAAGGAGAGCTAGGTAATTGAAAAGAAGGAAGTCGGCAGAGGGAGTTGAGAACCATTTAACGTATCGCAGTATCGTGGTGGTGTACAGCTGACTACACAAGGCAGTTGGATGGACAGAGAGAAAAGTGATTCCTTCTCTCATAGCAGATTTATGTGCTGTAGCAACAGCAAATCAAACACCACCAGTTAAATAGCTGCATTCACATTCTTTAAATGTAAGTAGGAAAAAGAAATCCACAACAGTCCTTCCTAGTTTTCCTGGGTCTTGGCTGAAGGCAATCTCTCTACCTGTAGGGCTATGCTTATATGAAGAATAGTGCAGGTGAGCTGCTCAAATTAACTTCTGTCTAAAGCATGCTGGGCATTTTTCAAAGATTATTACATATCAAACTTTATTACAAAAATCCTACTGTAGAAATTCTACCACTAATCTTAAGTTGCAGTAGAGGTCATTTGCTTTTATCTTTACAAATGTACATCTTATTTGATTTTTCCTTCTTTCTAGAAGAAAATGCCTCTGTTTGGTATCCTAAAGTGCCCTTTAGTGTCAGATTTCACTTTTCCGTGCCAATAAATGATCTCCTAGGGTTTGAATAAGTTAAACAAATGGCACTGCTCATGACTTTCATTCATGGTATTTCCACTTCTTTTGCTGTTATGACTCTCGATGCTCTTCCCCAGCATGTAACACCCTCTGGAGTTATGGGTACAAGACTGGACACACTGCTCCAGAAGAACTGTCATCAAAGCCAAATATCATCTATGATATTCTTCAGTTAAAACATCCAAGAATGATATTAAATTTTGATCATTTGTCTGCACTGACCATTATTATTCACATTCACTTTATTATCCACCTTTTCCCCCAATGAGTCCTTTTCAGGGTCATCAGTCTGTAGGAGAGAGGCTGACATCGAGGTAAAATCGCCTCGATCCTGGACTCACTACACATAACTGTCCTCTAGACATTAAAATCCTGCCTGCTCGTGCATACTGTTAGCTCAGTGACCTGTCTTCTGTCGTCCAGACCCAATCACTACTGACTGATTTGCTCCCAGCTCACCAGTGGCAGGGGTCACGGGGCCAACAACAATCCCTAGAAACACACTCATTTTGTAACGATTCCCTAACACTTAACGATACATTGATCGGCAATAATTTTGCACATTAGATGTGCACTGTGTGGATGTTGTGCCCTCTAGTTACTTTGGCTTGTATAAGAGATTGCCTTTGCCTTTGACTGGGAAAGGTTACGATTTTGAGGTGGCACGCTTACATAAAATGTTCTGTTGTACAAATGCCCTTCTTGGAAAAATAAGTTTAAAAGGTAAATGTCTCAATAAAGGTTTTCCATGAACCCATGATGACTGACATTAAATATTTTCCCCTCGCTTAATTCTGTACTCAGTTGATTCTTTCACCTTCTATTCCACTGCTTTGCTTCTGATGGATGCCAGAATGAGAGGCTGTAGCCCCCCTGAACATCACATTTACCTTTTCTCAAAATATTTGTATGTTATTTCTCATTGTTCTGCTGAAGAAAGAGACGAAAAAAGTCATTGTCAGCCCAGAGAATTCTTTATCACCCATTTTTAAAGCTTTCAGGTGCAAACCAACCAGACCTGCCCATTACAAAACACCTGTCTTCAACATTTGGTGCTTAATATCCTTCTGCAGTACAGCTAGCACGGAAAATATTTCATCATACCCTATGTACACCATCTGACTTGACTACAGAGACAACCAGAATGCTTTACAGAGCGCTTTCTCTGCACTGTCAGCACTTCGATTTTGTAATGGAGCAACAGCAGCAACACGTACACAGACGGACATGCACATGCACGGGCGCACCTTCCTCATGGGCTTTAGTTCTGCACCCTGTGAATGCCCTGACACCTTTTCATTTTCACAAACAGTAGTCCACGACGATTTGTTCATTGTTTCTATATGCTATTCAGTTTAAATATCTGTCTCTCCTTCCCCCCCCCACTCCCCACCCTCCAATTGCTTTCTCTACTTTTTTTTAAATAAGGTTTGTTTTAGAAAAAGTGTGGCCTCTTTTTCTTGATCAGAACTTGCTAGACCTCATGTCTATAGAATTATTTACCTGTACTGTGTTTTGTTTGCATATAATAAATATGTGCAAGACAAGAACACCTGCACCTCAGGTGCTCATAATTTACACCTGTCAGGATGCGGTGTAATACAGATGAATGTGCATTGATGCAACATTTCCAAGTTAGGCAATAGTCATGTCTAACTTTTAGAACCTTCTTGCACTACTAGCTGTGTGACGTTTTAGTACTTGCAGCATGAGACATTGCATATAATTTAGACCGAAGTCCTTCAAGAAAATAGGGCTTTTCACACCAATACAGAATAGATGAATACTGTTTTTCAGCCTGAATTGGTAGCAGACATTTTCAGTACCCCATGTGTGTGCTATTAAAATAAGTCAACCCACTAATATTGGAGAGCACAAGTTTCTCTGGTGCAAATGTGTCCAAAGAGGCAATGCATTCCTTGACAGAATGCCCCTCCCCTCTTTCTCCCCCATATCTGATTGCTCCTAAATAGTTTATAGCCCTTAATTTTAATATTCCAATCAATCAGATCTTCCCAGCAGGTTGCAGTAATATCAATTAGATCAAAATATGCTCCCAAATAAGCAATTCAAGCTCCCCTTGTTCATTATGCAGGCTTCTAGTGTTGATGTATAGATGATTACAGAATTTCTTCTCCTCACTTTGTTGGTATCTTGATTAATTCTGTTCTTTGACATCTTAATTTCATGTTGGGTGAAAGCTCATTTTCCCTCTTTTCAGCTTCCTTTCGTGTTTCAGGGCAGCACCTCATTAATGCTCTGTCCTTCAAAAGAAATGAGGCACAAGGATGGGATCTGTGACTCGCAGTTGTCTCTCTGATCTGCAGTGCTCCCTAACGCTTCTCGAGTCATTATTCCTCTGCAGAAGACGGTCAGCTATACCTTAGGAGCTGCAGGGTAGGAGCCTGCAAATGGACAGTAGCTCCAGAGGAATAGGGCAGCAGTAAATTGCTTCCTTCAGCAACTCATTTGTGTGTTCCTGCAACAGTAATATGGCTGGGTTTCTGCTGAGGGCTTTCAATCAGGCTTGAAGCAAAAGCATCAGTCTGTGTCAAGGTGAAGTTTGGCCTGCCTCGAGGCATGGCCTGGAAAAGGAGCTCAGCTGTACATATGTATTTATCACTGTTCACTGTGAAGCAGGGGGAGCTTGTGGAGAGCTGCAACTACTCATGTACAGATGGAATAAAGATTCCTGTGTCTGGGAAAGCCCCTCTGAAAGCCAGTTCCTACCTGTTTTGGAAGTATAGTGATTTTTGCTGTATTTTGTGGAAGCAACTAATCTCAAAAAGATTTTGGAAAAGTAGGAAGGGTCACAGCAAATCCCTTCTACACCCTAAAGTTCAGAAGAACCCCCTGCCCCGAGATCAGACTGTGTACAGTTAGTGTTCAGTACAGCTAGCACTGGAAAATCCTCTCAATTACAACTGGATCGCAGTACACAGCATCACACAGTACGGGCTGCTGCAGTTCACTGAACAGTTTAGTGACTCATCCTCTCTTTCATTAGTTTCTGGGGCAACTTTAATGACACGCTTCATTACAATGGAGATTGTCCCTGTAATTTAAAACAAAGCTGCAAACTTGCTCTTTTGTCTGTAAGTAGATACTTAAAGCAAGTGCAACAACTACTTTTAGCTATCCCAAATTTTTGGCAAGTGGTGTCTTGACCCATCTTGACCATGCTCCTGGAGCGTACACAAAAGCAATATTAACCAGTGTGGAAGGTCCTGCTCTCTTATCCAACTACCCAGCTGGCTTAGAAATGAAGCCCGGCTTGGTGTAGCCAGAGATCTATACCTGGCTGAAAGATGTTTTCCCTGTGGAGTATAGACCACACAGAGTATAGACCACACACGGCTGCTGTAAGCATGGTCCGGTCAAGACACCAGCCTTTGAAGTTTGATTTTGCAAGAAGGGCCATTACAGGTTTAACACAAGGACGTCTGGTCTATTTATGACTGAGGCGCCCGTAGGAGAGGAGTTTGAAGTCTGATATCCTAATCACAACCCAGTCAAGGTGACAAGTTTGCCCAGTGGTTATGATGATGATAGTGTGAGCACTTGTAAGCAAAGGACTTGAGGATGTGCACTGTAAGATTCCCTACCACGAATACCCTTGTTCTG